TGATGTACCATTCACAGTAATTCTACTCCATCTTTTTGTTACTATAGTAAAGAAATTGAAGAACAAAAATAAATCAATAACTAAGAATAATGCATACCAAATTGAATTATTCTAACAAGAGTTTTTTTTACCGATATCAAGCACGTAAAGATTATCATCAATTTTTGGCTCTGGAAATTGAGGATCCTGAACCAATCCACCAAAAACTAAAAAGATTGAAAGTTTAGAATTGAGTCATTGACCTAGTAATTATCAAATATCATAGGTTGAGACATCATACCAAACATTTTTGATCCAATATCCGCGTGTGTGTGCAAAGTTCGAGATAAAGGAATGTCGCCCATAGTTGAAACATTATGAACATTTAGTGTGTCTAAATTTTCAAATATATAAATATCAATAAAAAGGGAATTTGATCAATATAAATATTCTTGAATTCGATTAGTATAGAATTGAAAGTACATACCAATTTCAACAGTAAAAACATCATTTTTAGATTTTCCCATATTGATACCGCCAAAAATAAGCAAGTCATTGGCAGACGCCATTTTTGATGCGGTGTGCCCATATCGTGGAAATGGATTAATAAGACATAATTTTCTTTGAGACCAAGGGTAAGAAGATCCAGCCTTTTTACGTCTGCCGCCTTGACTCATTTTAAAAAATTTGCGATTACAAAATAAAAGTTTGGTTTGCAGGCATTAAATTGGAAAGAGAGAAATGTTTTTAAAGAATGTTATTTCAGACTCAAATAAGGTCTTGCAGTGCAAGGTTTGATTGTGTGATGTGTGTTTTATACTATGAATAAGGAAGTTTTTTTTTTCAAGAGTATCGAATATTATTGCATATAAGCAAATATGGTAATTAATTTATAAGATCAAGTACAAATTAGCGTATAATTGTAACATCAAGGAGCATCCAGTAAGACTAGTAAGACTCAATAATTCTTAGCATCGACCGACTTTTGAAATTAATTATTTCCACGTGATAAATTGTAGAAGGATTAACGAATCCAAGATAAATTGGTAAAAGCAGAATTAAATTATAATACTGCAACTCATTATGTACAAGGGACGGAAAAGATGTTAA